CTTAGTAAATTTAGTTTTCTACTTTCCAGCAAGATTTTGGAGGAAAGAAGACAGGATGGAAGAAAGATTCTGTCTGTTCATTATATCCTTTCAGGGCTCATGTCTGCATGCTACAATATATCTTACAAACGTATTTATCATTTTAATAAGCTTTTCCTCACATCAAGAAGTTTCTGTTACCCTAATTTGCTTACAAGATTGTATCCTTTAAATTGCTTTCAAGCATAAGCATAAAATAAAATACAGAGTTTAATACAATGCAGTGGCCACTAAAATTGTTCTTCTATCCACTTCTGGAACTGACTAGTCCAAAAAGAACATTTATTGATTTAGTTTTTAATAAAATCCTAGGCCTTGGGCAGGTATAATCAAAACCTAGGTCTCTCTCTCTCCCTCTCTCCCTCTCTCCCTCCCTCTCTCTTTTGCTAATATATATGAGTTTTGTTCTTACAGGTTTAAATATAATTTATTGTCAAGTTAGCTAACATACAGTGTATACAATGTGCTCTTGGTTTTGGGGGTAGATTCCCATGATTCATCGCTTGCATACAACACCCAGTGCTTATCCCAACAAATGCCCTCCTCAGTGCCCATCACCCATTTTCCCCTCCCCCCACCCCCGCATCAACCCTCAGTTTGTTCTCTGTACTTAAGAGTCTCTTATGAAAACCTAGGTCTCTGGAGTGAAGGGCAGAAGCCAGGTCTCTGCCTGATCAGAACAGCCATCTCCTCTTCTCACCCCCTATAGCTCAGCCTCTAATTTTTTTTTCTTTTTATTGTTTTCTTTTTCCCTTCTGTTTTTTTTTAAGCATGGAGAGAAAATACTCAAACTCTAATTTTATTAATGAGGCAATAGGCAAAGAATATTATGCTTAAGTTTTCATGGATATTAAAAAGAAAGTATACCTTTTTATAAGAAATTTTCAAGAAAAAACTCACTTATTGCTCAGACAATTAAGTTTACTATTTTCAGACAATTAAGTTTACTACTTTCCCCCTCCCCTCTGCCGAGTAGAGAAGGTTTGCATTCTTCATTATATGCCTTCATTCATCACCTAGCCCTTAATAACTTAAAAACTTTTATCATTTTCATTGGTTTTATTCAAGAGTAGGGACATGTCTGCCTCTTGTATTTTTGAGACCTTTTCCTTGACTTCCTTTTTCTTTTTGAGATATAATTGGCATACAATATTAAACCGGTTTCAGGTATACAACATGATTCGATATTTGTATATGTTGTGAAGGTATCACTACGGTAAGTGTAGTTAACATCTATCAGCGCAGAGATACGATGGTTTTTTTGCATGACAAGAACTTTTCATTAAGATCTACTCTCGTAGCAACTTTGTAATATATAATACAGTATTCTAACTACAGTCACCTGCTGTTCCATTACATCCCCATGATGTATTTTTTCTATAACTGGACATTTGTGCCTTTTGACTCACTGCACCCATTTCACCCAGCCTTGTCTTTCATGATCACTGACTGTGCTTTGATTCCACCTCACAGAATACTTCTCAGATTTTGCACAAAGTTTTCCTGCTCCAAGTCTGTGGGCTCACAGAAATTCTTGCTACCAGTTACTGCCTTCCTCAGTTATTTTAGGCCCCACCCCCTAAAATAGCCATGTCAGGAACGATGCCAAACAGCTAAGCTACTTTCTGATCCTTCCCTATCAGTGTTCTCTCCCCCAGACTCAGTAGCCAGTCATAGAAACTCATCATGGTTCACAATGGCCTTGTAAGACGACTGTAGTGAAAGGGATTGGAGAGGAGCCTCCATCATCATGTAGAATCACTGTTCTACACTGTAGAATCTCTGTAAAGTTTACAGAGACATGCCTGGCCCTACCCCATCCTGACTCTCCTAGGAAGACCCTCCTCATTTTTTAATGAGCAGAAAAGACCCTAACGATATTTTTAAAACTCAGATTGGATTGGGTGAGCCTTTTCAGAGAGTCACTCAATCCAGAACTCTCAGAGTATGTGGTGTGAAATATCATGTGTTTATTACTGAGTGTGCTGTTAGAATTTTAGTTGGGGTCCTTAATGGAGTGTAAGTGATTATTCTATAGCCAAAATAGTCCCTCACCCACCCATCCCAAGTTAACAGTGTGTATTATATACCCCAAGTCAGTAAGTTAATGTAATCAGGAAGCCTATGCAAAGTTCAGGTGCCTTCCTAACATCAAGGATCAGTAAACTTTGTGTAAAGGGCCAGATAGTAAATATTCTAAGCATTTCAGGCCTAGATGCTTTATTACATTATTCTCTCTTGCAGTGCTCAATTCTGCCATCACTGGAAGACAGCCATAACCAATATGTAGACAAATGAACATGATTTGTGTTCCAATAAAAAACTTATTTATGGACACTAAAATTTGAATTGCATGTAATTGTCATGTGCCATGAAATAGTGCTCTTGATTTTTTTCAACCACGTACAAGTGTAGAAACCATTGTAAGCTCAAAGTTTGCACAAAATACAGGCCAAAGACAAGATTTAGCCGGGGAACCACAGTTTACCACCCTCTGCTATAGATTTTCAAGTGTAAAGGACATAAATGCCATAATTCAACAGCCAAAATGAAAGTAAAAGTAAGACTATTATAACTGCGAGGAAGAAATTAGAGAATATGAAGTGCCTACTTTGGAGGTGCAAGGAAGGCCAGAGAGCACCTGAGACAAGAAAGTGTCCCCAAGGCAGGCCATCCAAACCTCTAACATCCCTCCTGAGATGAAATTAGAAGCCCCTGTGTCCTCCTTGCCTCTGCTTATTTTCCAGGCTCATCCCAGCTGTGGGCCCTCTTCCCCTCACTCCATCTGGAACGGCAAGGGGAGTCGGACACACATGACCTGTCTCCATCCATCCTTCAATTTAGAAAACGCTGTCTTCTTTCCTTCATAACTTTACACTCTCTGTGGCTGGTTCCTGGTGACACAGGAGAGAGCTAAGAAGTGCCCGTTGGTGACTGAGTCCGCTAGCTGAGCTCAGTGCCCCAAAGATGGATGCGTTTTTGAAGACACAATTTATATCAAGCTCAGCTCCTTATCACCCATGCTCGTGATATACACGTCACAAACGTCTAGGGATGGCATGTAAATAAAAGCATGTTAACAGTTGCCAGTGATATACTATGGAGGAGACACTCAATCTTTTCCACTTAGGGGTTTTGCTGATTTTTATTATTATTTTAATTTCTGTTCAACTTTGGTCAATAGACACCTGCAAATGAAGATTTTTGTCTCTGTAGGACATCCAGAATGTGTCAGAGGGTAAGGTTTTGGGTTAATCCACTCAGTAGGCTTCTACTTGAAAGGAGTTCTTTCAGAACAACCTGGAGCTTTCTGTGGCCCACAATTAGAGCATCAGCATTTCTAGATTTAATGGGTCTGTGCCGTTCACTCACTTCTGAAAGGATCTCCTGATCCTGAAAGGGCCCATAGGGATAGCATTTGTTTCAGGGTTGAGTGGAAAATGTTGGGTCCAGTTCAAGCTAGTTCTCCCATGTAGGTGTCCCTTGTACTCTCATGTACAGAGCCTCATAGTTCTGTGTGTGTGTGTGTGTGTGTGTGTGTGTGGCAGTTTTGTTGATTCATTCAAGAACTTGTCTGATATTTATTCTATCCTTTACCCCAAGGATACTGAAATGGTAGCGGCCTGGTCCTTGACCTCCACGTATTCAGAAACTGGTTGAGAAAAAGGCACCTAAATAAAATCTTTATGATACCTTGTGATAGATGATATAATAGAAGTAAGAAATGAATAATTTGGGAGTTCCTGAGAAAGTAGAACCAACTTTGAGGATGTGACAAAGTTTACATGGGAAAAGAATTCTACATTCCACTGTAACATAGTGAAAAGCGCTGGATTTGGAACCAAACGCTTCTTTTTTTCCGACATTGGGCAAGTTACTTTACTACATTGAGCCTCAGTTTTCTCATCTGTAAGGTGGGGTTAGTAATACTCACTTTGCATAGGAATCAGCCAAAAACTCCCTTCCCTGTCGTAGGTCCTTTTCACCAAAGACTGTGTGTGGCCAGGAATTCTGTTGACTATTGGATGGAAGGAACAGAAGGAGAGATCACTTTTTGTGGGGTTGCATGGGGACAGGGCATCCATTCTGAGTGAGAGCCAGGAAAAAACACACCTGGGTCAACCATTGTCTCTCTCCCCCTGGGAGTTCGTTTGGACAATGGGTAGTGTATCTTTTCCCAGCAAAGCCTTTGCATATTTTACTGTTCTTACAAGTTGACTGAAGGACCTGGTCAAATTACATACTTCTTCAGACTGCTTTTCACCATGAGTTTCAACACTAAAACCAACTTGATGATTCCTCAGGGCTCACTGTAATTAAATCACTGAAAAGGGTATTTAAACTTTACACTCTTAGCTATCTAGGATTCCTTTCCAGTAGACAAGCAAAAAGTAGATGGTTTATGAACGATAGGTACTTCATACCTAATTTCTGGGGAGTGGTGGAGTGCTTTACCTTTTAATGAGACTCTGCTTATTCTCAGTGACTGATAAATGGACATTGTGTCCTGAAACAGCTTTAAACCATCCAAGTGGTATACATTTTGGGAGGAGTATTGAAACAAAACCTAACTAATTACCCTTTATAATTCTTTGTGAGTCCCAGCATTAGAGCCCAATCAACCCTAAGTAGAGACCTAAAATGCCTCTTTAGTCACCCAGTCGAGATGATATCCAGTAGTGATCAGTTTACGCCTTTCCGTATTTTGACCGGAAAGTAACTCCCCAGTAATTGAGGGTGCAAGCGTTAACTAAGTCTGCCAGATGTCCCAACAGGAGAGACGGGATTGAAACCCCTACCTGGCTGACCCCAGATACACTGGCAGGATGGTAAGGTTTCCGGACAGAAAGGTTACCAGATGGAAAATCCCCCGAGAGCCACAGTTGCCCCACCCCTAGTGCTGGCTTGGTTGTTATGGAAAAGTGATGGAGCACCAAAGCGTGTGTCCCTTTTTCTTCCAGGAGAGAAACCCTACAAGTGCACCTGGGAAGGCTGCACCTGGAAGTTCGCGCGCTCGGACGAACTGACAAGGCATTACCGCAAACACACGGGAGTGAAGCCATTCAAGTGCGCGGACTGTGATCGCAGCTTTTCCCGGTCAGATCATTTGGCACTGCACCGCCGGAGGCACATGCTGGTGTGAGGAATGCTACCCGTCCAGCTGAGCGTAAGAGCTGGATCTCTTAGCGGCACCCAATTCAGCAGGGCTGAATCCCCTTCACAGTGTTAACACAAAAGGGCATCACCATCCCACGATGTCTGAAACCAGAGCAGGAAAAAGAAGTAACACTTCTCCTTTCGGTCTGAAGGTAACCCCCATCACGACTACACCAGAAACGTCTTCTCACTGGCCTGGGAGATCCGTGACACAAATGCTGAAGAGACAGGCATTGTTTCCCGTGCTGTGTACTCTGCCATTTCAAGATGTTTGTAGCTTGTACGTTTTCTGAGCTGTCAGACGTTTTGTTATCGATACCGTAAAGGTCGTCTACCACAAATTGATGGCTAGCGCAAGACCTTTTAAATTTGGATTCTTCTCCCATCATCCCACCCCTTACCCTCTTTTTACTGAAATTTTAGTTACTGTCTCAGTAAGATAGAACACACATCCAATCTGTTACCAGCAAGCAGCATGAAAGTAGAGAAGAAGAAGCCTGTTGGAGAGGTTCCATTACCTGAAAATAAAGGGGCGCTCAGGCAGCCCTTTGCAATAGTGATGACGGCAACTAGATATCACCCGCAACTTGTCATTCTGCCATGCCCTGAAGAAAACCAACATTGAATCTCTCATTTGTTTGTCGTTGATTGTTTTTGTTTTGTTTTGATTCTGTTTTGTTCATCTGTTCGAGCAGAGGGGCAGCGACATTTCAGTTGGAGCCTAGTCTCGGTGTCTGCCCTGGCATGGACTGGCACAGAGGTGTTCTGTAGTTGAATAGGAAGAGCCTGTCTAAAAAACTACTGCCCCACTTCAAATTGCAGTGTTCTGTCACCTAGGCATCATCTCTTCCTGCCCCTAGTATTTGATTACAAGGAATCGGGGGGAAAAAAAAACAACAAACTTTCTTAGACACACTGGCACCAAGGTAAGAGGTGGGGCTGCTCGGGCAAAGTCAGTGAACATGAAAAATCAGACAAAGCAGAGATGGAATAATGCGCCTCTTGAGGAGAAAAGCAATAATGAATAAAAGGACTTTCCTACAATAACTTCACTGAGGACTCACGTTACCAATTTTCATACTTACTAAAGGGATTGTAAAAAACACCCTAGCATTTTAGATGTCTTGGTTACATTTAGAGCCCTGAGGTAATCTTTCTGCTGTTTGTTGTCCTGCTTGGTTGAGTACCACAATTAAAGATTATGCTCCCCTTTTCTTGTTTGAAAACAGTTATTTGGTGACGAGAAAGGCCAAGGAGGCATAGCAGGGAGTTAACCCTTGGGTTAATGGGTCAGTTCTCCTTGGAACCGAGTCAGTGGAAAGGGAGCGCTCCCCGAGGAAAGCCTGACATGGTGCTAGTTTCCTCACTTGGAGAGCCAAGGCCAAGTGACTCTCCAATAGGTTCTTCTATATAGACTTCATTTTCTAAACTGTATCGGAACCCAGGGGTTCTGCGCTGGCATCTACAGGGATGTTGAACCCACTCATCCTGTGCTGAGGGTGAGAGGAAGGAGATGATCATCCCGTCAGCCCCCTAAACTCACGAGCCTTTCTTGCAGCTAGCGAAGTACACAGGAAACAAAGCAATACATCACCAACAAGCATTCTTTCAGAAAAATTACCGTATTTTGTTTCTCCACTAAAAGCTGGGTTGTTGTTTTTTTTTTTTTTTTTTTTTTTTTTTTTTTTTTTTTCAGCTTTATGTGGCTAAGGGGCTTGGTGAAGTTTTTTTGTTATTGTTGTTGTTGTTGTTGTTGTTGTTAAGATTTTTTATAGCTTAGATATAAAAGGTTGCCAGCATAGGCCTTTGCAATATATTTTAATCACCAACACTTGATTTGGGGAATTGCACAAATTAACCTCACAATATTCCTAGCTCATGTTTAAATGTTTGAACATTCTGAAATAATTTCCGGTTGTAGAACTATCCTTTTTGGGATCATCTTCTTACTCAGAGAAACTTTAATGATGAAGCAAGAACTATAAACATTGAAACAAGGACAATTCGTGTTGGATGGTATTAAAAGGAATTTGTTTTAAATGTTCAAGCAACAGCATAATGATTTTCAGGTCAAATTCTGTCTTCAAAAATACGTGCTCTGCATTTTCTGCCAGGTCTGAAAAATTCATCAGGCAATTTCCTTCGAACAAGGGCTGCGATTCTGTTGACAAACAGCTCCTTTTGCTACACAATCTTACTACCCACCAAGCACTGGGTTTTTTGGTTGTTGTTTTTTTGGGGTTTTTTTTTTTTCTCCTCTTTCGTTCTTTTTTTTCTTTTTTCTTTTTTTTTTTTTACTGGAAAGTTTTGTTTTTTTTTTTTATCTGTACTGTATACAATTCCTACTTCTCATTGCTTGTGACCATTTTGGATAGAAAAAGGTTTCTTGCTACACACCGGCGTTGGTTACTGGTCAGTGGCAAAGAACACAGAGAGTGGCCAGCATGGCCTATGATGTCCTCACTGCCGGTCCTAGAACCTGGTTGGCTGTTAGTAGGTGAATCGCCCAGGCGCAGTGTAGACTTGATTTCACTCTGCCTACTCTCATAAGAGGGGCAATCTTTTCTCTGCGGAGAGATATCTTGAGAGTGTTACAAGTAGAAATGGTTTTTAGAATTTGTAGAACTGACAGGCAGTGGGAGCTTCCTGAGTGACAGCTTGACTTAAATTTAGCACAGAACTAAATGAGCTGCTCCTCTCTGATCACATCGGAAAGGTTCAGGGAAGTGAGCTCTTTCTCCACCCTCTGAAAGTAGAAACCAGACTGAGATGGAGATGGTAAGTTAACTGATAAAATCTGTCAGCGTTATGACATTTCCCCCTTTCGACATAATCGATACTTCTAAAGAGAGATCCGAGCACAAGCAGTGAGTGAGTTGCTGATCTCCCCTTCAGGACGGAAACTTACTTGGGGCTCATCCCGGGACATAGCAAATTCTTCCTGGTGAGTTTCCTACCAGTGTTTCCCCATGGAAAGGAAAGTGATTTGGGAGAGAAGGAATTGGATTTTTAAGTAGGAATATCTTCAGGCATGGAAAAGCCTCCTCCATTTCATCTATATCCATTCTAGCCTCTTTTAAAAAGCACAGTAGTAGACGATGAGCAACAGACAAGGGGCAGAATCCAAAGGATTTGTCAGTTGCCTAACTAGAAGCATTCTTTGGTTTTAAATTTGGAGCTGTTCAGTTTGCACTTGGACACATGTGCGTGTTTGAGAACTACACAGACAGCTGGAGTGGCTTGAGGAGCTGTAGTAGACTTGACTATCTCTTTGTGGTGTAGAGATGGGAGCTCAAGAGACTTAACATTATTTGAAAGAGTTACAAGTTACTCGGAGGTTTTAATAGATGCCCTCCCCATATTCTGATCATAAGTTGTTAGGAAAAAGATTCACGCTTCCCTATCCACCTCCAGCCCCATCCTGTCAATTATGTGTGGACTCTGAGAAGCCTGCTTGATAACTTGTCTTAAGTTGTATTAAGACATGTAGACGAAAATCCCTAATGGCTTTCCCATAAAGAATGTACTACTGCCTGGCATTACTTCGACAAAACACTATAGGACATTGATTTGCAAAAGCAGTTGACAATAACACAAACTGCATTTTTAAAAAGAGCACTTTTTATTCACTTTAAGTGGAAAATAGGAGGGGAAATTGTGAGGTGGGGAGAAAACCTTACAAAATGCTACAGTGTTTACAGATGCCAGTACTAGGGGATGAGAAAGGCCATTCTCACTCTGGTTGAAATTTGGAACAGCTTATACAAAGATGGTGTTCATTTTTATACAACTTTTTTTAAAACTTCAAACTTTGCCATTTCTGTTTTAAACGTAAATCTAATTCTGCACTTTGAAATCAGTTCATTAGAATAACATGTATATGGATAAAGATGCAGTATTCCTTATTCTGTACTTTATTTATTTATACTTACCAAAGCTGCAAATGAATAAATCTGGTGAGGTGAGGCCTTCAAATGTATTCCTACGCCTTTGTTATGTGGTTATGACTGCTAAGAAATGTAGCCATGATGTTGTTAGAAAGGTGTCTTAACATTTATAGCGAGGATTGACAGAATTTAAGCAGTGTTAAGAACACCAGCACCCATAATACACTGAGCTATAGTCTTCATGTAAGGGACTGAATGAGAGAGAACTCTCATGCGTCCTTTTGGGCCCAGGAAGCCTTAATACTCATACCGCATAGTCCCGTCTCAGATTTTGCTCTGTACTCACGCCTGTAAATCTAGGAGGTTCTATGTATTCTGTAACTTCGTTGACCAAATCTCTTCCTTCAGTTTTTCTGAGGTAGTGCATCTCATTCAAAAATCTTTCCATTCAATATGCTTTTGTTCTGAAAAGGGGTTTGGTAAGTCACGTCTTCCATATTACATTTCTACTTACCCCCACACTGCCTTCCACTTACCTGTACAGGCACCCCCACCACATACACACCTGTATATGCAGCAGCCAGTGGGCTCGTAAATATCAACAAAGAACTTTTTTAAAAGAATGAATTTGTAATAATCCATGCTGTCTAGAAATGTAAGTTATTTACCTTATTAGGGAATCAGCTTATAACGCTATGTATGACTTTGCCTGCATTTTATAGTTAAGAAGTGTACATAAAAATTAAAAATGCTATATTTTCACAGTTTCATTATAGAGTAATGTCTGTTTAGCGACCCATGTCCATTGGTACTTTAAATATGCTGAATACTGTGCAGTTGCAATAGAAATTCAGATTTTCGTAAGAAAATGACATAGGAGGATACTGCATCTTTAAAAAAAATAGAGTGAAAATATTTTGCTGTATTCGTAAACGTATGTGATAGTGGAAAAGTATTTTCAAACTCACAAATTTTACAGAGGTTGTAAATAGTTTGATGAAGTATGTTGGGGAAAAAAGAGCTTCTAGTTTTCATCACAATAAAAAAAAAGAAACTTGTTCAGATATGCCTTGTATATCGTACAATTAGCAATATTGCC